CTTCAGCTTTCCCTCCTCCCCTCCCCCTGACAGCCTCTCCCCAGGAAAACTCTGCATGGTTCTGGGCAAAAGTCCTGGGTGAGCATGCAAATCAGGTAGTAGCAAATCACTTGGTGGTTGCTGGAGGGCCTGGCTGCATCAAAGGCCAGAACAACCCTGGAAATGGCCCTGCTGCCTTTCCCTGCCTTTTACTGACAGAAACCAAAGCTTGAACTGGCAATACTGCTGTGGTTGCTAAGCAATAGCCAGTGAGGGTATTCCTTTCTTAAAGCTGCAGCCGCTGCTTCTGTTATTTGGGGGGATTTTAATCCCCAATATATTTCTTAGATTTCAGATTTTTTTTTCCTGTAAACCTGGGGCTTTTTATGTTTGTAGTTAAGTTTGTATGTTTTCTGTTCATGACTCCAGTCTCTGGATTTAAGTATTCACAGATTGGGTCATGTTGAGAATTAAACATATTGATGCTGGTCATACTCAGCGGCAGCAGTCTTCAACACGGTGGCTCTGGGTTTCCTTTGACATGGTTTCCTAATGCATCCTTTTTAATGGATGCAATCCAGAGTCTTAAATGAAAATTCCCGGGGAGCTTCAGGTCATTCCCTGCCAGCACAGGCACATCATTTGATGAGATTCCCAGGGCAAATCCTGGTTTGGGGCAGAGGTCATTTCGGGGTAATCGTGGGGGATCGCAGTTCCCCCGGGTGAGGTATGGGGGGCGGGGCAAATGACGAAGCCCCGCCCCCTGCTTCCAGCCGCCCCGCTTCCGGGGGGGTGTGGCCTTATGACACACTTCCGGTGATGTCAGGGGGTGTGGCATATGCTAATGAGTTATGCTAATGAGTTCCCCTAGCTCTTTTTCTACGAAACGACCCCTGGTTTGGGGTAATCATGGGAGAAGTTTCTGGGGTCCAGAGGCTCAATCACAGTTTCAGCATGAATCACAATACCAGCATGAACCCGCAGATCAATAAACTTGGGGGATGGATTGACAGGGGAGAGAAGAATATTTGAAGCGCTAATAATGAAAGCGTGCCTGCTTCTTTCTTATCTCCAGGGGCAGATATGAATGAGGACCAGCTCATGGGAGACTTTGAAATGGACTCGAAGCAGCTGGAAGCCGAGTCCTGGAGTCTGGTGGTAGACTGCAAGTTCATGCGGCAGCAGAAGGAGGATGTTGTGAAGCGGCAAGACGTCATTTACGGTGAGCGTTTTTTGGGGGGGCTGAATTGGGGAGGGCCTCTAAAGAAAGGAAGCTGAACTCTTGTGACCAATTAGAACAAACGAGCGCTGATGAGAACATCCTCTTTCCCCGATCTCTGCAGAACTGATGCAAACGGAGATGCATCACGTCCGCACCTTGAAGATCATGAGTGACGTGTACAGCCGCGGGATGGTACAGGAGCTCCAGTTTGAGCAGCAGATGGTGGAAAAGGTCTTTCCCTGTCTCGAAGACCTGCTCGTCATCCACAGCCAGTTCTTCCAGCGGATTCTGGAGAGGAAGAAAGAGTCACTCGCTGACAGAAGCGACAAGAACTTTGTCATCAAGAGAATCGGAGACATCTTGGTGCATCAGGTAAGCAGCGGAAGGTGTCCATGCAGGCTGAAGGCAGCTGTGAACACAAAATATCAGATGTATATTTCTGGGCTAGGTAAACCAAAACAAAGCTACCCATAATTCTGCATGAAAAAGGCATCATGTTGCAGCAGGAAGGAGTTGTGCAAATTGATTATTTTGCATACAAGGGCCCCGGTCACACGGGCTGGAAAATGTGGGGGGGGGGAGCGTGGCTGTTTGCCCCGGGGCAAACTAACGCGTGACTGCGAGATCAGACGTCCGGTTGAGGTCCCGCCGAGGTCCCATGGCTAGGGGGGAGGTGCCGATCACACCACAGGCAAAGAAGGGGGGCGGGGCGGCAAATGGGGTTGTTGGTTGTTGTTTTTTTACTTTTAAAAACTGAAGTGTGTGCATGCTCTGTTGGGTGCTTGTGCGCATCCATGGAGCCTTGGGAAAAAAAATGACCTGTTTGCGAGGGGACATGGGCAGGCGCCGGATGCCACTGGAAACGCGATCAGACGCCCACCCTTGCCCCGCGGTTTCCAGGAACTAGTACCTCCGAGGTACTAGTTTTTTGCCGCGCATCTTCGGAGGGAAGCCTCGGTTGAGCCACGGGAGCTCTACGCTTCCCAGATGTGGCGGTGAGATCGCGCCAGGGAAATCCGCCTATCTTCCGTCTCTCTAGCGTGGCTACTGTTCCGTGTGACCGCAGCCAAAGTTCTACTCACTGTAAAGAGGAGTGATGTACATATGTGTGTGCTGTCGAGTTTCAGCTGACTTATTGCAATGCCAGCAAGGGGCTTTAAATGCAAGTGAGAAGCAGAAACGGTTTGCCATTGCCTTCCTCGGCAGTCACCCATACAAGTGCTGGCCGTGCCACCTTCCCTCCTGAGAAGGTGGCATGGCCAGCACTTGAGCAACACAACACCGCATAACTTCCCAGTACCGCTTGTGTGTACCACCACTACCACCCTAACATCTTTTGAGTCTCATAGATTCCAGAATTCCTATTTGTGTGCTTCGTCATTCAGAATTTCTATTTTGTGTTTCCTGGAGGAATGAAAAAAGCGATGCTGCATGGTTCAGTTCTCCTTGTCTTAGCGGATGCTGCAGGATTTCCCTTTCATAGGGATTATTTAGAACCTCACATTTTGGATGGGCACTGTTGAGATCTTCAGTGTGTTAGTGGCTAGAAGGCCATCTCTTAAACCACGCAGTGAGTCGGACGGTTGTCCGTCCCACTCTCAGAGATCTCTAAAGTACATCTCACAGTTTTCAGGTGAGAGTGCCGAGCGAATGAAGAAGACGTACGGCAAGTTCTGCGGGCACCAGAACGAGGCAGTGAATTACTTTAAGGACCTGTATTCGAAAGAAAAACGGTTTCAGGCGTTCATGAAGGTAGGCATGTGTTACCTGCTAGTGTACCATTATGCAGTTGCGGGGCCTAGGAAAGAGGGTATAAGTGTGCAGGGAGGGGTGGTTGTTTGTCCTTCCTCCACAGGAGCCAAACATGCGACTGTCAGGGCAAGCTGTCCTCAAGGTCCGGCTTACCTGAAGGACCGCCTCTCCCCATATGTTCCCCCAAGAGCACTACGATCGGGGAGCCTCCATCTCCTGGAAGTTCCAGGCCCCCGAGATGTTACGTTTGCCCCTACTAGGGCCAGGGCGTTTTTGGTGGTGGCTCCTACCTGGTGGAACGAGCTCCCAGAGGAGATCCGGGCCCTGCGGGACCTTGTGCAGTTCCGCAGGGCCTGTAAGACGGAGCTCTTCCGCCAGGCTTTTGAGTGGGAGCCGCCACCGCCACTATCCCACCATCGTGGTAGTGCTCCATCGTCTGCCCCTATCATGGGGCGCAAGCATCGCCTGGCAGAAGCGTTTTGAACAGCGCTGCGGGAGACCGCGCTATCGAGACAGCTGGCCGCCGAATTGGGTTTATTGTTTCCCATCTTGGATGCCTTACATAGGAAGATCAGAGCACCTTGATTATTGTTTGGGTTTTATTAATGTTATTTAAATATTGCCTATTTCATTGTATTTTATCCATTCAACTCGGCTCTGCCACATGTTAGCCGCCCTGAGCCATTGGGAGGGCGGGATACAAATCTAAAAATAAATAAATAAATAAGCAAGCTACTGGAATATAAGCAGACTCAGACTTCTTCCAAGTCTCCATTAGATTTGGACTTCTCTGGGGTGTCTTTTCCAACAAAGTCCTTGGGGAGTGAATGAACGAGATTGGATCGGACACGTGTCCTCTAGATCATCGTAAGGGATGTGGTCTTGGAGGACAGACATGAAGTGGCACTGAATAGGAACTGCATCTCCTAAACCACTGGGAATGCTGCAACCTCCTAGGAGGCTTCATCACACTTACCTTTCCCAGATTTCCATGCTGGAGTCATGAGGACCGGACACTTGTTTCTGGAAAAAAGAGAGCTGTGATTCTTAGGTTGCTGTGTGGGAAAACAGGCTTTGCCCTCTCTCTCCCGGTCTGTGGGGCCCCAGAGTGCATACACACATCGCAGGGCAGGTGGGCCACGGGTAGATGGGGTTTGTGCTTGCATGACTGTCTCTGATCAGAGGGACCACTGGGGTAAATGTGGCTAGCTGTTCCACGGGATAGGTAAAGGTAAAGGTTCCCTTGCTCGAAAGCCAGTCGAGTCCGACTCTAGGGTTGCGGTGCTCATCTCCGTTTCAAAGCCGAAGAGCCAGCGCTGTCCGAAGACGTTTCCGTGGTCATGTGGCCAGCATGACTAAACACCAAGGCGCACGGAACGCTGTTACCTTCCCACCGAAGTGGTACCTATTTATCTACTTGCAATTTCTTGCTTTCGAACTGCTAGGTTGGCAGGAGCTGGAACTAGAGACAGGAGCTCACCCCGCCTTGCGGCACCCGGGTCTTGAACTGCTGAACTACTGACCTTCCACAGCCTGCAGTTCAGCGTCTTAACCACTTGAGCCACCGCAGCTCCTTGTTCCACGGGATAAGTATAGGCTAATTGGCAGGAAAGCAGCCTGATCACAGTAGCCGGGGTGGAGGATCTTCATTTCTCTCTCCTTACCAGGTGTGTTCATTTCATTTTTCTAGAAAAAAATGAGCAGCTCTGTAGTGAGACGGTTGGGCATTCCGGAGTGCATCTTGCTTGTGACGCAGAGAATCACCAAATACCCGGTTCTGCTGCAAAGAATACTGCGGTATACCAAAGGTACATTTTCCTCTGAATGCATAAACCTGTTCTTCTCAGGTGGGAAGGTAGACCATAGGGAAATTTCCTTCCACTGGCACTCAAGAGCCCTAATGGGCGACGATGCCTCCAGACTTCCCCTCCACTGAATGCTTTAAAAAAAACAAAAAAAAAAACACCATTTTCTGTTGCTGGGTGTAGATAGTCTCAAAAACTATTGCATTAGTCAGACTTGACTCACTGTAGTTCTGCATGCGTTCCAGCAGATGTTTTGGTATCCTTTAATGCTTGCTTGTCAAGAGTGTAGTTGTGGATACCCTTTTGTATTAAAGCCCTTCCTGTGGAATTCATCCATCTGTCGAAATTGCCCTTTCAAATGTGGTTACTAAAAAGTGAGTAGTTTGACTGTGGTGCTGTCTGGCTGAACGGCTGAGGGTGTGTTTGCAGGGGTCTGACAAAGTACGGTCTCCTCCTGCAGTGAGCACTGGGTAGTTGTCCCTCGGTACCAGGCACACATGTCCAGATGCAGTGGTGCTTGTCTGTGCTTGCCCCTTCCCAAAGCAGAGGCTCTGCCCTCTCCTAGGATGCCCGTATTGTCCATGGGTGCCTCCCAGAGTACATATAATTGCAGGAGAAGCTGCCGTAGCAGAATCTGTTGTCCCTGTCTCTGTCCAAGCAGTTCTTCACTCTCAGTTTTTTTCTCCCCTAAAACAGGGATGACCAATTCCTGTTTTTCCTGCTGTCTGTTTTGTTCCCCCTGTGAACAAGGGCAGGAATGATCCCACCCCTTGTGGGAAGATCAGGCCTTATTTAAAAAGCTGCCAAGATTTAGCAGGAAGGGCTTTGCTAGTATGACGCGTGGACTTGGACTTGGGGGTGGGGGGTGTTAAGGAATGAGTGTTCATCCTCAAAAGGTCAGATTAACAAGAGCCCTTCACCATGACAGGTTGTGCAAAAGAGAGCTGGTTGGCAACCCTTTTTTATGTGAAATGCTTGTAAATGAAGCCATGCTGTCCTCTTAGGGTAGCATGCAGGGAAGGTTTGGCCCATTGGCTACCAGTCGGCCACTTGAATGTTGGCCACTGGAGATGTCTGAAACAGACAAATCCTGTGCTGCAGTATGTTGAAGCAGATGCCTGGGAGGGCCACAGAGAGGGAAGCAGATGACAAGTGAGGAGCAGGGTTTGCAAAAAGGGTTTGCAGAAAAAAAGAGGAACTGGAAGGCAGTTCTCCTTTTGTTCTAAAGAAAACGACAAGGAACAGGAAGATCTGGTGCAGTCGCTGAACCTGGTGAAGGAAGTCATCGTTGCCGTGAACAGCAAAGTTTGCAAGTATGAGAAGAAGATGCGCCTGGATGAAATCTACACCCGGACGGACAGCAAGTCCATCATGAGGATGAAGAGCGGGCAGATGTTCGCCCGGGAGGATTTGAGGCGGAGGAAATTCGTCCGGGATGGGCCGGTCTCCCTGAAGAATGCAGCTGGGAGACTGAAAGGTGAGAGAGGCTGTCAGAATTCCGTCCCCTTCCTGTTACGTATTACAAACCAGCCATTCACATTTTCTGTGCGGGTGCAGACGTGTGGGTATCCCTAAACCAGTCAAAGTAAGGCGTTATTTTGGAAACATTCCTTAGAGTTGACTTATCTGTCCTCCTTGCCATGAAC